TGCCAACATCTCCCAAGAGCTAGAATTATAGTATGTGCCATCATGCCCTGCTTTAGTCTTAGACTTGAGAATTTTCTAAGACCTATGGGTAGTTCATTTAGAATTTCAAGAGCCTACTTTACTTTCATTATGTGTAGAGAATATTAGCAGTCACAATGAGTTCCTGTATCTAACTTAGTCATCTGAGTCAATTAAGTTATCAATAGAAGATGAAACACTCATTACATCTTTCTAAATTCAGTTAATAGAATTTCTAGAGATTTCAGAGTTGTTAAAAGCATGTGTTCATCTTAACGGAATCAGTGATTAAATTCAAACTCCATTGCTTGGCAGCCATGTGGCCTAGGGCACGGTCTGTAACACTCAGTGCTGTAGTGTCATTGCCTTCAGTGAGATGACAGTACAGATTTCAGAGAGCATTGTAGACTGTGATGAGGTAACGAGCTCATTGCATTAGTTCAGTGCTGGAGCCGCACCGAGCACTTCATAAACACCTGCTGCTGCCTTATTAAGCTGAAGTGCACTGTGACTTGATTGTATTTGAGCCTGTAACAGGGCCAGCATTACCCTCGGGATAGCATGTTCGCTTTCCCTTTGCGACTAATGAATTCCTGTCTGCAGTGTGTTTTAAGACTCTCCTTTCCTTCCTTTCCCTCTCGTTCTCTCTGTTTCTCTCCCCACCCTCTTACCTTTTCTTTCAGAGGGTCTTTTGTAGGTCAGATTGTCCACTAACTTGATATGTAGCTGAGCATAGTGTTGATCTCTTGATCCTCTGGCCTCTACCTCCCAAGTGCTGATATGTCTATATGCTGCTATGTCTGGCTTTACGTTTTTACTTCTAATACAATAAGTACAAAATAACTGGCACCGTACAGTCTAGGAAGGCAAGTGATTGACAGTACCGTCTGCTGTTAGCGTGTGTGCTATGGTTAGTGCCCTGTTAAACTGGGGCTAAGAGTTACTAGTTTGAAGATAAGTTATAGAAGAGGAAGAAAAAGCGTAAAAATAGGTCCCTCTAATTTAGTTTATTGATATGCTTCTTTATTGGTCTAGCAATCTTTACTAGAGCTGAAGCAGAGTGTCTGAGTGATTTGCCTGTGGGGAAAAGGAAACACCTCAGAGGCAGGAAAGAGGGCTCGAAGGACCCTTGAGCTCGTTTCAGCTGCAATTCCAGTGTCACATGGTGTTGGATAGAATCAATCTCCAGTAGTTACAGATTCTCTTCAAGGAATATTACCTGATTGTAACCTAGAGAATATAAACTGATTTTAATGAAAAACTTAAAAACATTTTGTATAGTCTCAATTATTTATTTCATTCAATGAAAACATTTTAATAAGGCAATACTAGTTTATTATAGATAAAATTTATGTCTTTCTCATATTCCAAGATTTTGAGAGATTCATCTATTTAAAATGTCATTTATACTTATTGGTTACTGGTTCCATTTGGGCCGAGGAATACTTTCAGTAAGGAATAGTATAATAACTATGCTATTATATACCTATAATACCTATGCCAGCAAGACACACTGGATCCCAGTGTTTGGCCAGTATAAGAGCTAGGAGAGCATTTATTTTAGGTCATCATCTCACCAAATATATTTGTAAAGTTGGATCACTCCTTTTAAAAAAGAAGTTTCAAGATTAATTTTTATATTTATCATGACCGTTACAAAGTCTATCTAGCTTCAGTCAGGCTATTCAGTTTAGCTGAGACCAAATATGGTCAGGTAGAAAGTCCCAGCAGTTTGCTTTGTGTTCTCATTTTCGTCTGAACAAACAGAAGTGTTGTGTTAGCCGCCTAAGGCAGTCAATGCACCCTCAGGCCAGCAGCTGTTATGAAGGCTTCTCTCTCCTAACTCCGGTTCTACTGACTGGGGAGCATGCTGTAAAGCAGAGCAGTTCTTGCTCTGTTCCTCTGTATGCCAGCTGCTCCGCACTTGGAGTGCGCACGTTTCTTTACACCTTGCACATTGCATGTGCTTTGTTTTGTGAAGAAGTGTTGCTGGAGCTTGGTCAGAATCAGCTGTGCGAGTGGAGGCATCGCAGGTGAGCACATGCTCCCCAGCTCTGGGTGTGTTCTCCTGGAGGGTGCTCCTGTCTGATGGCTTTTGTGTTCATTTGGATAAGCCATAAAGATCCTTGCTGCTCCCAGCAGCGGGTCGGTCCTCAATGGAGATATCTGTTGAGTCTTGGACCCACAGTGCTTGATCTTATTGATTCAGTGATCCAAGTTTAAATTCCTGTGGTGATGCTGAACTGGCCCTACAGGAAGATGATAACAGGAACCCACAGTGTACTGTGAGGGCTACATGGGCGAAACTTGCCGGAGTACACAAGCTGATTGTCCTGAACCGAGGCACAAAGGACTATTAGTTACACATGTGCAGTATAATTGTGTGGGGAGACGTTGTCTGTATCATCAAGTTATGTTCGTAGAGGAGCTGTCAGAGAAAAAACCCACTGTGGGTACAGGTCGGGGGTCATTTTGTTCAGCCAAGCAGTGTTATTCTCGCCCTCCAAGTGGGATTAATGTTTTACAGCAGTGCTAGCTTGCAAATTTGTTGGCAATTGATTTATAGTCTCCGTCTTTAGCCTGTGCCAGTAGTCTTATTTTTGCATATGTATTTAAGTATTGTTATACAAAAGATTAAACACCTAGACCAAAGAGGAACTTTTATTTCATTAGAAAACCGTTTTGAACATTTTCTAAGCTCTAGGAAAAGTGAATAAGAATCTGTCATTATCCTTCTAAACCTTCGTAATCCATTGTTTCCAATTTGTTACTCATTTATCTACATTACTTGTAAAATTATTTAGTAGTAACATTATTTTAATGATATATTGATGATATTTAATCAAGGTCACTGAACAAGGTTACACTGAAGCTCATGATCGCTAAGATAAACATGGATTAATATACTGTGATTGATATGGTAATCACTTCATGTCATAGAAATCACTTCAATTCATAGAAATTGGACAAAGCATGGCTTAGAAGGAAGACTTAAAAGGAAGACTTGCTTTTATACATTTCTCTATCAGTCCTGTCTTGTTTAGCAAAAATTGAATAATTTATTAATAGCAATGTAAACTAATTACCTTCCTGAGTTATAAAGAGACAATATTAACAGTTAAAGATCTGATACTTGAATGTGCAGGATTGGACCACTTCCAGAGTAGAAATCCAGCCAATTTTTAAGAAAAATCATAATGTTTCAGTCTTGAACTTTAATGTATTTGGAACATTGCAGCAGAACATTTTCTTTTTGCCATCTCCTGCTAAACTACGTGTTCCACCATGTTGGTTTCCCTTGTGCTGGGGAGCTCAAGTATATGCAGAAAACAGAATTCTTCTGACTCGTGGTCTCAAGTCTCAGTGGTGGGACCAGTTTCCTCTTCAGTTTTTCAAAAATGAAAATGCTCGACTCATTTAAATTATTAAATACCAACCATATTCCAGGCCTGAATGTGACAATGACTCATACTGTCATGGAATGGCAACAGGGAGGGATGCAGAATCTCATGTGTTAGTGTCCTGAAGGCCATGGAATACAATGCCTTTTCTGGGACCCGAATGATTTGAAGTCTCACTGGCCAGTGGCCTGTGAGGTGCAGGGAGAACAGAAAGGCCAGTGAAGACGAAGCATTGTGAGTGTGAATAGGTAGGTGTAGATCCAGTGGACATTATGAATAGCCTCCATTATAACCACAACTACAAGTTTTTAAGTGGGAAGGGCTTGACTAATTGATGGCAGGTCACTCTAGAGCTGGAAAGTGGAACAGACTCTCAGTCCTGGGAGGACTCCAGGAAGGAAGAGAACCAGAGACTGATCCAGCATCTGGTGGAGAGATGATGGTGACCAGCATTCTGGGGGTGTGTGGCCTGGTGTGGTGCACTTTGAATGGGCTCTGTGCCTGGCCACACTGCTTGCTCAGGCTCTTGGATTGCGTATGTCTGAACATTAAAGTCTTTGGAAGAGCATAGTTTAGTGTGGACTCTTCCAGTCTTGAGGATATTAGATATTCCAAAAAGTTAAAGTGTTTGCTAGTTATAATTCCTTCAGCTTCCCTTAGTTACATGGAAAATGCTAACTTACCCCAAGTTCTGTGGGTATGTCAGAGTGCATGCTCTCTGCTTTGAGTTTACACTAATTAATAGCTCTGTCTCTCTGTCTATCTCTGCCTCTCTGTCTCTGTCTGTCTCTCCTTCTGTGTGTGTGTGAGAGAGAGAGAGAGATAGATATAGGTAGATAGATAGATAGGTAGGTAGGTAGGTAGATAGATAGACAGATCGATTGATAGGCAGATAGATAGATAGATAGACAGACAGACAGACAGACAGACAGACAGATAGATAGATAGATAGATAGATAGATAGATAGATAGATAGATAGATA